CGGGGCGACCGTCCACAACTACCTCGACTGGATCGTCCGCGCGCACTTGCCATTGGACTTTGCCGAGATAGCGCACGCCCACATGTACATCAAGCTCGACCGCGTGGAGCCCAAGAAGCTGCGCAAGTACCTCCGCCTCGTCATGCGGCGCGTCAAGGCCGATGTCCGGGCGAGCCTGCCGCCAAAGTTTGCGCTGGTCGTCGAGCGCTGCGTGGGCGAGAGCGGAGCGCCGTTCCTTGGCCTCTTTGCAGCGTACGCTCTCGAGAACGAGCTGCAGATGCCACTGCTGGCGCTGTACCACGACACGACGCCCACGGACGCCGGCTGCGAGGTCGAGTACGCGGGCTTTCTCGACTTGATTTTGGCCGATATGAAGCGGACGCGCGCCGACATTGTGTGCATGGTCGCGTCGGTCGAGTCGCCGTTCAAGCTCATTGCAGACGATATGGACGTGCCTGTGGTGACCTGCGCCAGCTCGCGCCTGGACGCTGCGATCCTTGCGTTCGTGGGGACACCCGAGTACGCCGAGTCGATCAACGCGGTTCGCGACCTCATGAACGAGCTCCAGAAGCTTCGGACCGGCGTCCGGTACTGCAGCATGCGCAAGTTGTACCCGGTCCTTGAAGACGACGCCAAGACGTGGCCCTCGACGATGGCGATGCTCCAGCGCTATTTCAAGCTGCGCCCGCTCCTCGCCGCGTCCGAGTCGTACGCGCCCCTCTTGGGCCTTGTCACGGCGGCCGACGAGACGGTACTTGAGACGCTTCTGACGCATCTCTCGAACCTCGACTCGGTCGCCAAGCATCTCTTGGTTACTGAGCGCAGCAGCCTCTCGGACGTGCGACAGCTTCTGGACGGTCTTCTCCTCGACTACCCAAGCATGACACCCTTTCTCAACGCCGACAGCGTCGAGTCACCGGCCTTTGAGAAAGCCGTCGTCAAGCTACAGCAAGGTCTCAAGCTCCATGCGACCGACCGCGCCGCTTTACGCGACTTTGAGTCGCCTGCCGCGACGACGCCATCAAGCGCCGGGGAAACCGACTATGCGACACGGCTCCTCAAACGCGCTCGCCTCGAGGGCGACGACAAGTACGTCGAGATTCTCAAAGTGCTGCCGTCGACGGCCAACCGAATCCAACACGCGTTCGCAACCGCCGAGAACGGTGTGCTGCCGTCCAACATTGAGACGCTCCTCTTTCTCCAGCTTAACCGGTCGTGCTGGCCCCTGAGCGTGGTTGCTGACGTCGTTGCGACTGCCCATCGCGAAGCCGATGACGCCGCCGACGACGACTGCAGTGACAACGAAGACGAGTGCAGCCATTTTGTTTAACACCCCTCGCTCCACGTAATAGTCATTCCATGTTCGAGCGGTATTACTGCAGTACACGTCGTTGACAGGGGTAGGGTTGCGAGCGCATCGCTCGATGCTGCGATCGCGTCGCGTCTTTCCGAGGACTAGAATCGCAACTATAGGTGTATACCATCACAGTAGTCGACATTGTGAAATGAGCATTGCGTGCCGAACCCTTTTGACGTAGCTGCCGACATGCGAATGCTTTGGACAAAGCAGACAACCTGTGCACCCTAGACGCATGCTTGTTATCGTACTAGAATCGTGTTCCAGTCTACTAGTACTAGTACGTGTTAGCAATCTAGTTGCTGCGCGACCGCGGCGCCACGTAATAGTGTTTGTTGGATCCGTACGCTACCAGTACCAAGAGTCCATTTCACGCTGCCACGTAGAGGGATATTAACATCAAACAATCTATGCTCGTATGGAACTACTTTTTTACACGGGCAATCAACGCCTTGAAAACATTTGCAGACGCCATTGGCTTTTGGAACCGGCGAAGCGAGGCAGCCAGCGCCCGACGAGGGCGATGCAGCCGCCGAGAGTACAAAAGCGCGCCGCCTCATGGGCTATTGACAGGACGCAGCGTCGCAGGTCACGCTTCTCCAGCGTGCGATACAAACACCAAGTACACGCAGCACGACGATGGCTCGAACGCCTTTACAGCCCTCGGCGGCGCGAGTGATCTCGGTGCCTCAAAAAACGAAATCGCATGTCCCTCTACGAC